GTTGGCACTCTCAAAAATTAATAAAGCAGAGCAACACATCTGCTTTAATTAAAAGCAACATTCAGGATAGTCGAAAGTCATTCCCTCGACTCTGTTTCAGGTCATCAAGAATAATCTAACCGGTGTATGGATCGCCAGCTCAAGCTGGATTGTCCACAATCGACTAATATCCCTCCCCAATATCAAAAATGTTGGCACAATCATAGGGTTTATGGACAACTTGGATACTCTGGATTCATTAATGAACTATACTAAAACACTCTTCACAAAAATAAGTCAGCAAAGGGAAAAAATGCCTGCTTCAGTACAAAAGTCTGGTGATCCTGACAACCCTTGTCCACAGTGCTGGAATCTTTCGCCTGATAACATCACTTTGGTAGATAACCGAGGAGTGGACAGACTGGGCTTTGCTGTGTATTCTGCTGTCTACAGTGCAGCACAAGCACTGCATACGTTGCTTCAGTGTGATTCAGGTGTTTGTAAATTGGGAGAAAACACAAAAATCTATCCCTAGAAGGTAATGTTTGTTAAAAGACCTAGAGCTGGCAAAGCAAATATTACACCTGAGTTTATTTGTTTTTTTATAAACATTTGATTCTTTTCTTGTTTTCAGCTTTTGGAGGTTCTGAGGAATACTTCCGTAAACATAAGTGGCACAATATTAAAGTTCAACGAAAATGGTAACCCGAATTTAGGGTACAGTGTTATACAATGGAACTGGAATAACACAGAGTTTAACTTCAAAACTGTGGGAACGTATAAGCAAAACCAATTAGACATAAACGAAAGCCTCTTTGAATGGCACACTAACGACTCAACGGTAATTTTTTCTTTTTTTTTTCTTTTTAAATACAAATGATGTTTTTTTTTTATTCAAAAACCTTTCCAGGTTCCTCTGTCAACCTGCTCGGCGCAGTGTGAAGATGGCCAAGTTCGCAGGGTCAAAGGTTTCCATTCCTGCTGCTATGACTGTATTGACTGTTTACCTGGTACTTATCAAGCAAATAAAGGTAATACAGCAGTCCATGCTTCCTCTATCTAAATGAGTATGTCAAAATAAGATTAGACACAGTATGAACACTGAGAAATTAGCATTTCTACAGGATTCCGTAAAAATTCCAAAAAATATCCACTGGACTTGGTTTCAAGATTTGAAGACGTTTCGCCACCTCTCCAGGAAGCTTTCTCAATTCACCAAATATTTTTTGAATTTTTACGGAATGACTATGACCTGGATGACTGAGAACCTTCATCAGCATTTCTACAGGATTCCGTAAAAATTCCAAAAAATATCCACTGGACTTGGTTTCAAGATTTGAAGACGTTTCGCCACCTCTCCAGGAA